CAGCCAATCATAATCCAGAATTACGATGTGTAATTTGCACTGGTGTTACACTTTTTGCACCGGTGTTACACTTTTTGCACTGGTGTTACACTTGAACTGGACTGCTCTCATCCAATCAGAATCGAGTAATTTTTTCATGTATATTATTAATCATGAAATATGACAAAAAATAAAAATGCATGTAAACAATGTTGGCGAAATATATTTTATTCCTTGAACAGAATTTAACAAGTTACAAAGTAGCTGCAGATTGTCAAGTGGATTCATCCTTCTCGGAGCAGTGGTCTACATTTTCTAAATCTGTGAAATTGGCATGTGGTCTCTAAGAAACCATGGGTGTCAAGGTCTACTAACAACTGAGGAGACATGGCTATCTCAATGGGCTTAAAAAAAAATACATAACTACACAGTAGTTGATCTGATATAAAGGTGTCTATTTTATCCTGTTTGAGCTGTCTCATAAAAAAGTTCCATTATTTCTTCATATTGCCTTTTGAATTCATTCCGACAGTGGGTGGACTCCTCCTTTAAGAAGACAGTTATGTCCTCAGCACCATAAAAACTACAGTACATTTTATGTTGCTTGTTCTTACTCTTTCAAATGTTGTCACTTTTCCTGGTCCCATGCCTGCTTACAGGAGGTTCACTTGAATTCAATGACACTAATCTCAAACTCATTAATTATTAGTGCACAGGATCAGTCAACTTATTCCCGGAAAGAAAGTTACATGTAGGTTATTTAGCACCAAATCTTGATGCCCAGTGTCAAAAAGACAAGTGCTGGAACCAAATAACTTACCCGTAACAAGTGTAGATTATTAAAAAAGAGTGCACTCCATCTAGTTAACACAGGCAAGAAAAGCACTGTGTAACTGATTGCCATAAAAACCTGACGTCATTTTAAAAAAGGTTGATCACTATCAATAGCTACCATGTAAACAACAGTGAACCAATGGAAAAATGTAACAAAAATTTTTTTTTTTTTTCACAAATTCTAGTTGGGATGTAAATGGAACTTAACTCTGGAAAATTTCTCAAAAAAACAGAACTCAAAGGTTGGCCCATATCATGCTGGGCTGTTCTGAATTGGAGATTGATGTTTCTGTTACCATTTTGTATTATTATCACCAAGCCTTTTGACTTTCACTGCCTCCTATTCACAGCCAAAATGGCGGTTGCATCAGGGGAACTTCAGTCCTCCAGACCGAAGTTCCTCAAAATATTATGTACAATGGTAAACAAGTCAAAACTGGATTTGTACCTGATTGGTTCAGTATGTGGTGCTTATTTTTAACCCAGTCATACAGCATGAAAAGTAAAACCAACACATTTCCAGATTACTCTTAAAACCACTCTTACTAAATATATTTAATATTAATTTACAGCTACTACACAGCGGTTTCATTAAGGGTACCCAGCCGTTGTAAACTCTGCACATGCACTCTCGTATCACGTCTGTTCCACGTGCTCGTCTTTGATCGCAGTTGACCTTTATTAAACCTTCGAGTAAACGTAGTGTTTCCTCTTTATTGACGTAGGCACCAGGCAAATTGACCTGCCAAGGACAGCCTTGGGTTTTATGTCACGAAGCAGGGCAGCAGTGGTTCTACGTGACCAATTGAAATGGCATAGAAGAATTTCCAGCCCATTATTCCCAACAATTCTGTATAGAAGTCAGAGTCAAGAGGATGATATTACATGCCTGGTTTGACCATCTGGGAGAAACATTTTCTTATTCAGAAGTTCAGCTCAAATAGTTTTGCCTACCTGTGAAGACCAGTTGCCCTCCTGCTGGAAACATTAATGAAACCCCTGCTACTACACATGGATATGTAATCAATTTAGCATTATGTATATTACAATTTGTACGTGTCCTGTCTCACAGGCAACATACAATGTAGGACCTTAACATCTTTAATTCAATAATGGTCAAAACAGTGCTCAACTTCCTCCTTCATCTGTGTTGGAACTCTCGATTTCCGAGTTACTGGGCGAAGTGTCTGTCTGATTTGCACTACTCTCGGGAGAGATGCGCATTTCTATGCTGCTGTCATCACCATTAGATCCACTGTCTGCATTACCAGGGTCAGTTGTACCCTGCCCTGCAAGATCTTTACGTAGTCCATTGAAGAAAGGAAACCCCATAGGAGAAGCTTGATATCCATAGGGTGGTATCCCTGGAGGAACATATGGAAAGGGGAATCCAAATGGTACTTGAGAAGGCATACCAAACCCTCCTCCACTTCCAGGTGGCATCATGCCGAATGGCAGCTGTCCAGTGCCATTAAATGTTGGCGCGGGAGGTATTGGCACACTGGGATGCAAAACTATAGGAATGTAGTGAGTGCCTGCTGGGTGGAGTGCATAGGTTGGCATTGCACAAGGTGGTGCTAGGAAAGGTGCACGCAATGGAATGTTGCCTCCTTGCAGAAGCATAGAGGGGATTGAAGGTGCTGAGGTACCAGTTTCATTCCCGTTCCTGCTGTTGGTTGCACTGCTAACACTGCTGCCATTTGTTCTGTTGCCGTTTTCATCTTCCTTAGGTGAACTGCCTGATATCTCTGCAAGGTCATCATCTAGACATATTGCTGAATCACTTTGGGTTTCCCTGGCATTATCTGAACTGTTTTCATTGTCACTGCCACTGCTCGCTGATGTGCTATTCCCATTACTACTGCTGCTCTGCACCTTGTTACCGCTGCTGTGGTGAGCATGAAGTCGAGCTCTCTTGACCTTTCCTCCGCTGCCACTTCCACTCTGTCCTCCCATGCTAGAAGAAGAAGAAGATGAGGATGATACGTTTCCTTGGAAACTTCGTTTAGACGCAGTACGTTTTCCGCTCTCCATGTTTATTTTTCCTTTTGATTTTAAGACATCTGTACTAGACTCGGCCAACAACTGGATCTGGTGCCGTAGATGTGCCATAAGTCTCTGGAAACAAGGTTGTTGCATGTCCATCGCTTCAACGTTAACCAGAAAACGGAAAACTTCTTCAGTGCAATCCTTGTACCCTCCAAAGTGATCGACTGGCTTTGGTTCTGTATCTGATTTGTCTTTCACAGCTCCCCCAGCTTCCTGTTGGTCATCTGTATGGAAAAATTCAGTAAGAGCTTTATTTAGTTGCTTAAATTTAACATTTCTCTGAAAGTAACATGATTACAAAATGGCTTTTGCAGAAATAAACCCCATAAAGAACAGCTCCTGAAACAGCCTGTCAGCGGTCTGTTGGCTGACTGCCGACCAGCTGTTTGTCAGCCAACAGTCAGCCCACAGAAAGCTGTCCATCGAATGTCAGCCAACAGTTGACTGACAGTCGGTTTTGGGAGCTCTTCACAATTACCTCAAGGTCAATGAACTAAATGGATGGTGTACATGTACTTTTTTGGTGTACTTTTTTCATAAGACCATCAACACAAGCCCTTCAGAGTGCCTTTAACATTGCTCTGATTAAGGAACTAATTATAAGACAGGTCTGAAAGAGGGTACTGATTTAGGGGTCTGGTCTTAAAAAGGGTATCAAAGTTTGGGTCGGGACATACATGTACATAGGGTAGGCAAAATCAAAGATTTTGGTCTTAAATAGGGTAAGGGTTTTGGGAAACAAGCTCCACACCCCACCTGATTTTTCTGGGAAGTACCCCTCGCCTCCTGTGAATGGTATATCAATATTGGTGTAAAATCAACGGACATTAATTAGCTAAGCAAATCATGGCCTGTAAAGGGGAAAAACTCATGCAGACTACAGACTTTTCAGACATAGGAAATGTGTCTGCAGGGATGTGCCAACTTAATACTTTGTTACACACCTTCTTTTTTGACTTCTTGCTCCTGTTTCTCAGTAAGGCATCCCTGAAGGGCCTTTAAATACTCCACAGTAAGCTCCAAGATCTCTGCCTTCTCAAGCTTTCCTGATCCCTGCCACAGAAAGGTTTTTCAGAAAAAAAAATCCAATTTAGCAATAACCAAATTTTTAGAGGTATAGTGTGGTCCTGCTAATAAATTTAAACCAGCCACACCAAACCTCAACATGTTTAAGTTGTGATTAGATGTCATTTGTTGGGTTCTACATGTCAGTGTGCTTATCAACTTTTAACTGATTCTAATGCATGAAAACTTGGATGATAATGATGATAATAATAATCATCATAATAATAATAATAATAATAATAATAGTAATAGCAATAATTATAATAATAATAATAATAATAATAATAATAATAATAAGGACTTGGAAATCGAAACAAGCTGAATGTGGGGCATGAGAACAGAAACGATACCAGTTATCATTGGAGCACTTGGAGCCATCAAAAAGGGACTAGAAACTTATCTTGGAAGAATTCCTGGTCAATTAAGCATCAGTGAACTACAAAAGATAACCTTGCTAGGTACAGCACACATTTTGAGGAGGGTGCCATCAAGCTAAAAACTGGCTATCCCCTAGTGCCCCAGGACCATGGTTTGGTCTCAGCCCTAAGGACTCTAAGCAAACATTATGTCAGGACGATAATAATAATAATAATAATAATAAATATTTATATGGTGCCTATCCAGATCTGTTCTAAGTGCTTTACAAAAGTACAAGAGCTAAAAAGAAAGTTCTAAGAGATAAAATACACAGAACAATGATAAAAAATAAAATAAATTAAGAATTCTTTCTAGCTAAAATAATAATTTTTATAAAGATGTACCTCTTCAGTTTACATTTAAAAAGACTTGGATTTTCGAATGAATGAATATCATTGGGTAGTTTGTTCCAAAGTTCTGGAGCTACCTGAGATAGAAAAAGCTCTGGATCCATAGGTCTTTAGTCTAAAGTTGGATCTGTTAATGTGAAAAAGTAGTACCTGTTTTCCATTACTTTGTGCTGGTAGGAGCTGGGAAAGCTCTCCCAAGGATGTGTTGATACGATCACGGCGCCGCTTTTCTATCACTTTGTGGGAGCATTCAGACTGCAAAAAGATGCGCTAGTTTTCTTATTGTGAATATACAAATATCCTAAAAACTGTTAAGATTGATAGATTTATTAAGTTTGCATTTCTCTATTTGGATCATTGTTATAATACCCAGGTGTCCAAAATAACCACTTTTCCTCCAACTTCACAAGTTTCTAAATGGCTAAGATTCACAAGGTAACATTTTTCGACAAACATGATGTGACCTAAAAACAGACCTACCTTATTGGTGCTTAATTTCACAGGTACTTAATTTCACGAATTTACCAGGACAGTATTTCACAGGGTTTTATTTTCCCGATTTCAATAGGCAAATATTAAAAAGGGGCATTGAATTTTGCAACTCAAGCATTCTCAACTTCATGTTATTTTTGAAAAGACTGAACTTTTTAAAATTTCTACATTAACTGGAACAAGCAAAATGCATTTTTTTAAATTGACTTTTAAGGTAAACTGGAACAAGCAAAAGGCATAACATTATAATTTTTCACAACAGTAGATACAAAATTGAACTTACCAGTAAAACCAGTTAATAGATTGGGTCTTTAATTTCGTGATTTATTTTCAATGTCCAAAATCAGGAAATTTAAGACCAGCAAAATTAAGTACCAATAAGGGACACTGCATAACACTGTGTTAAGTTATGTCAAGCATCTCGTGCCAGTGTCTACTTTAAACAAGGCTTTTTGTCAAGCAACCAATCAGAGTGCTGTCCCTAAATTCTGGTGAAACAGCAAGATACTGGAGTACAATAATAGGGACAGTGCTTAGCAGAAGTTTCCTGCCACGTGAGCAATAGTAGACATCAGCACACAGCCTACTGCCTATCCAATACAGACACCTCCGTGACAGAGACCCTAACCTCTGCCCCTCTGGTGTCTGCAGTAGATAGGTGCCAATGTATCCCACAAACGTGTATTTTCGACTGTGATTCTAGTGCATCCATGTCATAGCACATACGGAAGCTTAAGCCTTGCTCTGTCAACCATGTGATGTGTGCTGTGAGTGTCAAAGCAGTGTCTCGGGTTGCTGTCTGACAACACGCGAAAAATAAATACTCCCTTGCAGCTCACTGGCAGTCTATAAAATTACGAACGCTCTCGGTTTTTATTCCAGTTTAACATCAGAGTAGTTTCGTTAAGCCTAGGAGTTTATATTAAACTTTAGAAAAATTGTGACCAAGATCTGATGTGTGTGTATGAACCTGTGGACGTAGAAACTAAACTTTATAAGCTATTTTAAATTTTAAAAGTATAAACTGAATACAAGGGATAGAGATTGTGAGAGGCTGCCATTTCTTACTTGCTACTACCAAAAACCTACCCCTCGATCTTTCTGCTTCTTAACTGATGCCGTTTCGCTACCTTCGCCAGAACATTGATCCCCATTTAAACTCAAGGCATCGTCCACAACAACCGCTTCAGATCGCTTGGAGTTTGAGCGCGATTTTAGAACGCTTGTTTCGAGGTTTTTCTTTGGAGTTAACGGACGAAAGCTACTTTCGGAGTAATCGCTGGAAGCACTGATATTAGAATCGTTGAAACTCGAAGCATCTTCCATGACACCATTTGTAGATCTCTTGCAGGTCGAGTGAGAGTTCGGATTCCCCGCCGTACTTGCTGAAGTTTACAAACTGTCCGGTATTAAAGGTGCCTTGTTTCGTTTTCGATCGTGTTTAAAGCAGTGAACAAGTCAAATCTTTTTTCCGGTGAAGTAAGGGTAAATTACAGGACGACAACAGCCCGTAACTAACCTTTGGATAACCGAAGGAGAAAATTTTTGCTTTGAAGAACATGCTTATCATAAAAACACGAGACTTGAAAATTGCACACGAGAGTCAAGACTCACGTATGTTATATAACAAAGAACGCCATTGTTCTTGTTACAAAAGAGTCGGATATGGACGGATGATACACGTTTCAACTTCGCGATGAGATTTAAACTCAAATCATACGCAAAACTTTAAACTAGCATAAAATAAGAGTTAAAGTGATACAATTTAAACATCTGAGCGACAATTTTGTATTTTTCGTTAGACGTTTCTCCCTAAATTTAGCATTAAAAAACCCATTTCCTGTATGCGTGAGGTCGAATCTCGTGTTTACATGGTCATTTTCATTCGTACCCAATCCTCTCACTGCACGTAGTCAATCAAGGCACATGTTTTGAAAAATACATACCCGCCCAGGCCTTGGTGGGGAAGTAATGTCACTGACGTATTTTTCAGTTCAGAATTTTGAAAGCTTCATAGTGGATCCAAGCCACTGAAACTTGTAGAACGATAAGCCGCTATGTTCTCTTGTTTTTCTTTCTTCAACGGTCAATTATTTTTCTGATTTACATGGTTAAAAACAAAAAATAAAAATTAGCAAAATTCCACTAAGGAGAGAGTGGAGAGGATGTTTTGACTTATCACGCGACCGGCATTTTCACACGTGTTTGGGTATACGCGTGAGTCGAGTGAAGTCAATATTCAGGGAGCCGGTAAAAAGTTTCCCTTCTGCTTTGGTAGAGGGTAGGAATCGAGACAATCGGCATTCGATTCCTGTACAATCGGGATAGTTTTTGCTCGGTGACAAATGAAAAAAAAATACTTTTTTTTTTTGCTATCTGCATACGTCTACTATATTTTGGCAGCAATAGTTAACGGGTGCACGAAGGCTGTCGACCGTGAGGATAGGGAAGTCTCAACCTGAGATTCCGCTGTATTGACCGACAGCAAGACCAAAGTCTGATTCTTTCTCAGACCGAACCTTCCTCGTGCTGCGTGGTCAATAAATAGTCTGTTATATAAATGGCAGGTGATTTAAACGTCCAGTTACAATTCGTCTCGTATCAATGGATATCTGTTCGACCTATTTCCGAACCCAGCATATCAAAAATATTACAGTAGTCTAGAAATAATAGTCCAAAAATTCCTTCATTTTGCTAACAAAACTTTTTTTTTTTTCCGTCGTGGTTTCAACGTGAGAGGATGAGATTTCATCGACGGGTTCAAGAGATCCCAAGAATGTAACAGCCACAGGTCGGTGGAAGTAGAGCGTGCCACACTCTCACTCTCTCTAGCTCGGTCTTGAAAATAGCCAATCACAATGCGTGTTGTATCGGCTGTAAGCACCAGCACGTGAATCAGACCGGGTGAGAAGGATAGAGATACTGGGAACGAGGTTGTTATGACACTTTCAACGGATGCATGTGGTAAAATTTTTAACACGTTTTACCCTCATCGGTGAATTTTCTGAAGGTCAGGGCAAACAGTAAACTCGTTTTATGGTGTTTTCGTGACTGTAGACGGCAGCAATCAAATATGAGGGCTTCTAATTTCCGATAATCCCGACTCTCAGTTGTCAAAAAGCCTCCGTCGTTAAGCGTAAGTTAATACGAATAAAACATAAGGAGGACCTGAGGCTCTAAAAGCAGGATCAAGACCGTTTTTCAGTGATGTTTATCATATATATTTACTTGGAGAAGTCATAATGAGAGGAAAACAAAGATAGGTCCCTGTTTCACATTGTCTACCTGGTACTGAGATACAGTAATTATAACTAATAGCGATATCTTAATTCTAGTTTTTCTTATGTATTTCATGGAAATATTCTTACAGTAAATAACAAAATTGCACGAGCTTTGGTAGTAATTGATAAAAGCGGAGTTACAGTTGTTGTTACTTGTTACTCAAGGTTACCTGTTGAGTAGAAAACCAGGTTGCCAAAGATTCGTTTTCCGACACCTCCATCTTTATAAGGCTTCGTATTTCATCCATTTAACATTTAAAACTGTTACTGTCAACTCTGCCATCCGTGATCACTCTTTGATTCGACACGAAACGCGATACAAGCTGTATTTGACACCGCTGATGTAAATGATCAGATGACCTGTTAACCTGTTACAGTCACGTCAAGATCTATTTTAATCTGCTCGACCAATTCTTTGATTGTGCCAGCTTTGGGGCGTCAGGTTCCTATTTTTTCCTTTTTTTTTTTTTTGCGAACGTTACTGGAAACTGTTATTAGAGATTTTTTTTTTCCATTGGACGCCTGAGCTAGTCAAGCTCCAATTTGGTAAACAAAAAGATAGGATATACTGAGAACCAATCAGGTTCGAGAATTTGGTTTTATTCAAATTACTTAAGCTATTATTTTATTGCAAGTCCTCTAAGACACAGCACAGTCCATCAATAGAGGGTTTTTTCTAAACAAGAAGCAAACATCTGCAAAGAATACAGATAAGGTAAGAGCTTTTAGGTCCATAGTCGACCTTTCAGACGCACACCATCCCAACTTTCAAAACTCGATAACTGTCTGTTCGGTCAGGCTGAGTTGAAGATACTAGAGATAGTAGAGTCTTCAAAAACGTTTGCTTGACTGATATCTGTGTTACCATGGCAATGAAAACAAGGTGTTTACAAATGAGCAATTTTCTCGACCTCTACAATTAGGGACAAAAGTGTTGAGAAATGTTTGCTAATTGAAATTTTCTCGATCAGAGATCCGTACTTCCCGTGATAGAAAAAAAAATCTTTTGTACGTCAATAGCCACCCCTCCCNTTTTTTTTTTTTTTGGCCTGCTTCCTGTTTTCTCCCACTATTTCAGGAGGTTACTGTTTTTCGGCTTTGTTTTGGGCTTTTACCTGCTGTATGGAGGCCGTTATGAATAAAATTGATAAATCCTACAAACAACTGAAACCTTTCCAGGTTGATGCCTGTCTGTTTTCCCCTAGTTCTAAAACTCATGTGTAGACTTTCTCAATGCTGTTGGTAGCATGCACGGGATCCTCTAGTCCTGATTCTGCAACATCAAAACTGCGTGATGCCCTTAATACAGTAACAGCTGTTACAATGATGTATAAACCAAACCCAAGAGGGACCAAGAAAATAGGGCAAAAATAAAAAGAATTGTTGATTGACAAACAGCACAAGCCGTTGAAAAATGTCATTTCAAATACAGTGGGTCAGTGTTATCCCAATCTGCTAAAAGAAGTATTTGTACGGGAAAGGCGTACATTCTGCGACAGCGAACTTTTTGTTCCAAATGTTTTCCTGCTTACC